TGCACATGTACGAATTCCTCTACAAACCTCAAATCACAGTGGTAAGAAACGAAAAAATAGGAATTTAGGATTTACCCAAAATTAAAAAGTTTTGAGTAAATGTACAGTGCTTGTTGGGCCTATATGGACGATTCAACCTAAAATCGAAGCTTGATTCTTGTTGGAGGCCGTTTGAAACCACCGTGGTCAAGTGCGTGAGTGAGAGAGAAGAAAGAGAAATTGACGGGAAAAATAAAAGAAATAAAGATTTTTCAATGTTTAATAGCTGACCTTATAAGTTTTGGAAATATTATAAAGGTTCCAACTATCTTAACCCACTTATTTAGCTATTTTTCTAATCAAAAGAAATTGAGAAAAAAAAAAAGGAGGTAATATGTCAAATTCAAGTTTGATGGAGGTCTTTGTGACAATTTCTCTCTGGAGACTGTAGCAACTTTTGCTAGGAAAGGAGCTCATTCTGCGCAAAACGTAAGAGTAAAAATCTACTTTCGCTAACATAACATTTTCGCATCCAAATTTCAACAAATTTTATGATTGGGTACTTACATGTGTTGCTCTTTGGCAAACTGAAAAAGACTTTAAGTTTACATGTGTGCGGCCAATACTCTTCCACTAAGAAAAATCAGAAAAGGACAAAGTATATATCATTATTCTCAGTATTCCAAACATGTCCAGTATCTTATAAAAGATACTTCTTTGTTTTTTTCAGGCACTACTACTCTATGATTAATTTTGTCCACCATGAAACTTTGTACTAGAGGTTTATCCACAAATTTAAAAGCTCCAATCTTTGTGAAGAACTCAAAATCAGCTTCAACTGTGAAATGGTTTCAGATTTCTGGTTTTGAATTTCCAGTTTCCTTATCTACTATTTCAGTTCGTTGCACCCGTTCTTCAGTTCATGTTTCATCACCAGTTATTCAGTCTGATATTGATTCAAGCACGCTTCATATTCCTGAAGAAAACTTAGAGAAAAATGTAGAGAAGGTGACATCTTAATTGGAATATATAGAGTGAATTATAGTATTTGTTTTATGTTTCACTCTCTTAACTTGTGATATATGAAATTTGCTTTCTTGCAGGTTATTTATAGCTGTCGGTTTTTCACTATTCTTGCAGTGTGGGGTTCCTTGATTGGATCATTTCTTTGCTTTATCAAGGTTAAGTCTTTTACTCTTTTGTATTTTGATCATTCTTTTTACTAAATTATGCAAATAATTTCTTGTCGTTAAGTAAAATTTTGGATATTAAAGGTTCCTTTATTCAATTTGTTATGTTATAACTTTGTCACTATAATCTAAGAGGGTCCTTTATGGATGGCACAAGTTCAAAAGGCTAGTTATTTATTCTTCTTGGTAGATTTTTACTTATAAACGATTTTAAGTAATAATTGTTGTGATTTGGGAATATTGCTTAGATTGATGAAATTCTTATTTTTTCTGTATGATATATAAGGGGGAAGAGATTAGATAGAAATGGAGTAAATGTTATCCCCAAAATTGAAGCCGGGAAGTTTAGAGTTTTGAGACCTCAGATTTTATAGCTAGCAGCATACGGCTGATGACTTGCAATTTCATAGAAGAGGGACTTGTGCTCTGTATAAGGTACTAAAACCTAAGAGAAAAAGTGTAGAGCAGAGATGCTTTTGAATTCCTAAAATGTCACTAAAGGTGTTAGTAGTCAGTTAGCATCTATCTATCTGCTAATACTATTTCAGAGATCATGTCCCTCTTTACAGAAAAATTACGGAAGATTTCTCATGCTTTTCTGTTACAAAATATAACCTTGTGATGTTATCCAGAAATACTTAAATTGACTTCATTTCCATAAACAGGGTTGCTCATGTGTGGTAGAATCATTCCAAGCATACTTTGCAAGCCGAACCAAGGTTATTGTGTATCTCGTTGAGGCTTTAGGTGTGTCATTAATTGCCTACTATTTATCTTCCTTTCTTTCTCATTTTATTGCTACTATTTTTTATGTAACAATTTGAGGCTTTCTCTAATGCAATTAGATTATGAGTTTCACAATCAAGACGCGACAAACAAGCTATTCTTTAATTGCTAACACAAGAACAACAAACGAGTTTAACTTCTTGCAAAAGAATTTTTACACTATCATCGCCATGTTATTAAGTATTTTTATTTAAGTTCTTTCCCTAGCTGCACATGAATGCACAGAGAAGGCCCTCGCTCAGGTTCTTTGACATCGACTCGGTTACTAGGAAGAATGCGCGAATCTCTTTCTCTTTACTTACGCAATTTCGGAAGAGTCTAGTTGATAGGATTCACTCACGGGAAGAATTCAAGTGAAATTATTTTTGAGTTCAAAGATGGTTCTATTTCTCAATCTTTCTGGCTTGCTCCTACGAAACCAAGGTTGAAAGATTGAAAAAATCTCGAAGATCAGGCTTGACTGACCGACTTCATTGACGGCGCATTTCGTTCTGGGTGGTGTTTCAGTAATTATGAGTGGCACTTTTTTATGGTCGAGAAGATCCACAATTCTTCATTGATCCACAAGACCTGGATTCCATACTGAGGGTGCACCTTGAACCCTTCCCTTTCATCAGTACGTTTAGTCCTTATAAATTACCTAAATTGTACGTCAACTGCACCTGAAAGGGGTGCCTGAGTCAAGGCTAGTGACAGGAGTGAAGTCCTAACATGGTAGCCGTACTGGAAGGTGTGGCTGGATTTCAGGGAGAGCTAATGCTTGTTGGAAGTCTGCTCTTTCCCTATCTTTGCTATCGATCGAACCATCTCGAAAGCACTAGGATCCGGATCTGTCTTATTGACCGGCTTTGGTCGAGCAACCGCTACATTTCTTGAACGGCTACTGCCTACTAACCAGTCAAGTGAAAGGAGTCCGCTTACCCACTCCCATTTCCCCCCATTGCTAGGAGTGATCTGAAGATAACTATAGATAGCAGACCATCATAAGTGGACTATAGATGTGATTGCACATTACTAAGGTTCTTCTCTGTGGTTTAAGCAACTTGCAAAGAATGAAACACCTAATATATTGTAATTGTGGTCAGGAGAATAGAATGTTTAATCTAATCACAGACTATATCACATATCCCGAGGCGACATGAAATTAAAATGTGCCCTTGAGGTGAGGAAAAAGGACACAAGTTAATTAGTTGTTGCTTGTTAAACAATATACTGTATGATCTGAGAATAGAATAGATACTAATGTGATGATATGCATTGCATGCCTCTATAATATGTTTTCTCTTGTAGATATATATTTATTAGGGACAGTGATGTTAGTGTTTGGGATGGGACTGTATGAGCTCTTCATCAGCAACCTTGACAAAGGAAAATCAATGTCAAGGGAGAAAAGTAGTCCATATAGATCAAATCTCTTGGGCATGTTCACTCTAAAGGTTTATATCTCTTCTTCTTGCTTTTAATTATGTCTTCAACTATTTTCTGTTTGTTAACAAATTAAATATAATTGCCAGGAACGGCCGAGATGGTTGGAAATAACTAGTGTCAGTGGGCTGAAAACCAAAATTGGCCATGTTATTGTGATGCTTCTTCTTATAGGCTTGTTTGACAAAAGCAAGAGGGCTGTTATAAACTCTCCATTTGATCTGCTTTGCTTCTCTGCTTCTCTGCTTCTTTGTTCTGCCTGCCTCTATCTGCTTTCTAAACTCACCGACGACAACTGACTATTTTGTAACACAAATGCATTTTGTATAATATAAACATCTTTTCTAATGAAACTCGCAACTCTCTTTGCTTTGGTATCATTTTTTCCCCTGTTATTTCTAAGGACAAGGTATATAAATGTACGAAACGTCAAATTAAAATATTTTCCTATACTAGGCGGTTCATGTAAAAAACGGTTTATATTAACCAAAGATTTGAAAAAAGGCAAAGTATTGTTGCTATTGTATTAGCTTTGTCTTAAAAACTAATTTTTCTCTTTGAAACCGTCAGTGTCATCAGCACTTAACCATGAAATAAATGTTCATAAATCATAGTACGACAAAAAATTAATTTTTTTTTTTGGAATCCCAGAAAAACCCGCAGTCTCTACAGTCTCTGCCCTTCGACTTCGAGTGAGCAATGGGTAAACCCCCACTGTATAATAGTGGACAAACCACACAGAGATATAAATCGCATTAAGCAAATACCGTGCGACAGGCTCAGACCCAGAGAGGCATTGCGGTGGATAAAACTCACGTCTTCCGTGTCGAAAACGCCTGCCAAACCCAACTGGGCCGTCCCTTCGGCACCAAAAAATCATTTTACTAATCCCATTTAAGTCTAATTTCAAATAGTTCCAAAATAGTGCAACTGATTGTAAGCATCCAATTGTGGGTTCCACCGTCTTTGTGGAAATTTCAGTAATCACTTCCACTATCTAAGTACCAAATTCATCAATTTTTGTCTCTTTGCTTTCCAGATCATTTTGGCAAAATTGCATCGTTCACTGGCAGATACAGCTCAATACGTCAAATACATTTACTTATTTCTGTCTTGTTCAATTTATCTACTTCCTCATCTGATCTTTAATTGAGAAATTAAATAACTCTTTCCTTCTGCTTTTTTTTTTTTTTTTTTTTTTTTTTTTTTTTTTTTTTTTTTTTTTTTGTAGAATGGAATTGATAGTTGTTAAGTGTGAAGGGGAGGAGAAAGAGTATAAAATAGTCAAGAGTACAAAATTTTTAAACATATAACATAAGAAGGTAATCTAGTGGAGTAAAAATTTCTGATATTGATGATGTATATAACTTAAATTCTATTGCATATTTTCTTCTTACAAAAAAGGGAATTACTTTTATAGTATTGAAGAAAACACGGGGTTCTCCATAATTTCCCAAACTACTTTATTTAAAGAAATAAACTTATTATGTCAAGAAATCTGTTACAATAATTTTATCTAATAATAGAAATCTGTCCTCAGCCTTAATTTCCCCTTCCCCACATAAACCTATTCAAGAAATAAAAAGATCCTCAGTTAACCATAAAGACAACCCCCCCCCCCCCCCCCCCCCAAAACCCTTTCATGTCTCTCTCCTACAACAACTTGAAAAAACCATTAGAACAGTTGGGATTTGACTAGTTGATATGTCATGGATGAGATTGCATTGATCCAAAAAGGGCTCAACTAAAATCAAGAAATGATGCCTATATTTCCAAGAAAATCAAACACCAAAGTCTTCTCTTGATGAAAAAGTTGCAGCCCTTCGCCAAATTAAAGAGGGCTAGCACCAAACTATTCTTTGAGTAATCTTCAAGCTTTTTTTGAAACCTCTTCTTTTCTACTTTTGTCTTCTTTTTTTCTTTATTCTCTTTCATCTCTCATTGAAACACACTCGAATAAAGAGAAAAAAAAGGAAATACTGTTATGGAAACTCACCAATTCATATACCCAATTCTAGTCTTCTTTGTTACTGCCCTTGGCCTTGTCTCCATCACTCTATGCATAGTTGCTGAATTCAAGAAAACAAAGGTTTGTTTTATGTTTTATATCCACACACTTCCCTTGAACCAAATTTATTTATTTTTTTTGGTTTTTTATGTGTGTTTGTATTTAATTTGCAGAAGAAAGATCTCAGGTTTGATGGGAAATTGTGTTACTTGCCTGGAAGTGTGGCTTTTGAATTGGGAATTGGAGCTTTAATTTGTTTATTAATGGCTCAAGTGATTGGGAACTTGTTGATATGCAGAATGTTCTTCTCAAGGGACAGTTGGAAAGCTAAGAAAAAACCCACCCTGCTTATTAATGGCTTCATTTGTGCTCTTTCATGGTAGGTGATGCATCCATTTCTAACATGCAATTTTACAAATCCTCTACTCTTTATTCAAAATGATTGATTTATTGGAACTACTATTTTTATCATGTCTAAATAAGGATAAATTATCAAATTGCGTAGCACAACTTTAATTTTGTACATATTGGTTTGATAGGATAGTAACTGCGTTTTTTACTTGCTTTTGAGTTTCACTTGTATAAAAACTTAAAAATAGATAGATACGTGACGAAGTGGCAAGGTACGAGTGTTGAAGCATAACGTGCAACATACGAAAATAATTTCAAAGATTTCTTCTTCTTCTTCTTTTTTTAATTGGTTTCAGCTTTCTTTATTTTCCCAGGAGAAATAGTAGTGCATGTGCCGCTATACTTACCCACGGATAAAATAATTATCTTTAATTATATGTTTCATGTTGTCTCTCTTTTTGCTTTCTTTTTCTCGACAAGCTTCAAAGCATAAGAGCATAAGCACATGGACAGCTATGTAGAAAATGTTGTGCTGAAATCTGAAATTATGCCTAGTTAATTATAAAATTAGTAACAAGTTCCAAAATTAGTTAGTAATAATTGGAAATAATATTTCGTATGGTGTAATTGCAGGGTCAGCTTTGTAATGGCAATAATTTTAATAGGGGCAGCCAGTAGCATGAGCAAGAGTCAGCCACTGGGTGAAGGATGGGTTGATGGTGAATGTTACATAGTCAAAGAGGGTGTCTACATTATTTCAGCAATTTTGGTCTTTGTAACTTTGAGCTCAACACTTGTTCCCTTCATCTTGAAAATAAGGAAGAAGAACCAAGTTGAAATAAGATGGCAACATACCTCAACAACATGAATACAAGATGCATAGACAGATTTAGCAACAGTTTTTCTTATTCTTTCTGATAGAGAATCAAAGCTCTCGATCCTAAAAGAAAAGCACACAAGATCCAACTTTATAGTGCAAGAAGTGAATACAATTATCAATCAGTGCAAATGCAAATGAGCAAAAATATTCTATTTTGCAGGTTTTGGACTTTTTTTTTTTTTTTTTTTTTTTTTTTTTTTTTTTTTTTTAGAGGATGGGGAGTGTACTGGAAGGAAGAGAATTTAGTAAAGGCCTAGGTTTTCGTGTGGTCCCTTTCTAATGTAAGATAAAGTGATAGGATAAAAAGGATAGTGACGGTATAGTAAATGCATACACTTCTTTTCCTCCCCACGTGGTGGTGATATGTTTACCAAATTGCAATCTGGCATCAGGAATACTTTGAAATATATTACTCCATTTACTTTGAAATTTTCAAATTAATACTACAACGAGTCAGCAATACATGTGACCAGTCAGAACAATCCTCCACCATCGAAATTATGCATAGACACTAGTCAATTGTCCAGAAAATATCTCAACACAACATGTTAATTAGAGGGACCAGTGCTGATCCCCTCCCAAAATTATGTTCCTATTCCCTATGGGAAGTAACTCGAGAAAAGTTTTTATAGTGTTTCTTTAAATTGAAAGGTTTATTTGCAGTTTGACATAATATTTTGAGTTCAAAGACAATAGTTTGATCACATTAACTATTTTGCAGCTTGCCTGTTAAGCAAGCGTAACATTAACTTCATCAATAGTAAGAAATATTTCAGTAACTCTTTAAGTAATGTTAATATCTGAATATTTTTCAAGAGATATCTCCACATAAATTTAGGATTAAATTCAATATTAATCAAGAATGAGACAATGATGCTAGAAATGAATGACCGTTAAATGCCTAAAACTTATGTCTACACAGGGACCTCATATATATAACAATAGAGACGCGAAAACCAATTTTCACAGACAGTGAGCATGTTACAGCAAAACTGTTGAAAGACTTGCACCATTTTTGAGAATAATCCACATTTCGAACAAAAAGAACCATAATAAACTTTCAACCGAATTACAGAACAATTTCGAACACTATGATAAGAATAAAACCTATATCTAAGTATGCAGGCAAAGCATATCCCCACCATCGTTTTGCCAAGAGGTCCATATACGCACAAAATGAGCACCTAGCAAAAGTATAATGATAGCAACAGAGCTAGCAATGCAAGAGAAATTAAAGCAATATATTAACCTGCAAGTGCACCTTCATTAGAAAACGTCACTAAAAGGATATTTCGGTCTAGACAAGTATAAGATAGAACATGATTTTTTAAACCGAAGAAAATGATAAGAAGACAAGTTTACTTCCTCAGTCCGATTTGAGCTAAAGAAACTACAGTTTGGGAGTATGACGACTCTCAATCCACCTTGAGCAAAAGTTGCGTAAATTAGGTAACAGAACCAAGTGAACTGATCAAAAAACTCAAATTCCCATGGAACCCATACCATAGAAATAGTTGCATAAAGAAGCCTACAGAGAAAACTGACTCACTGGACCAAAAACAACATGAGCCAGCCATGAAAAACAGTTCCTAATACACCTGTATCTGTAGTAATTGGCAGTTTGGTATTGAACTCCTCAGCAAATGTCATTAAACTAGCGGGAGATTTTCTCTGACATTTGTTTGAGTACTTCTGAAAATGAAATAAGCAGACACCGGGCAATACTCCTCTGAATATGCTACATCCTCATGTACCCTCCACGGCCCCTACTGCCATAGTTATTATACCCCCTTCCCCTACCATAGCCACCACGGTGCCCACCATGTCCAGGCCCATAGCCACCATATCCAGGATAAGGCCTCTGTTGATGGTTACCAAAAGTCTGGGAGAAAAACAAAAAAGGAGTAACTACTTAGTTACCACCAGTAGTTTGTAATATTTGGTCAAAATCCAGTGAATACTTATTTGAGACAAACCTCAGTATCCTGCCTCATCCTCTGAGAAAAACGATTCTGCCCATTCCTACCTCCACGAGCAACTGTGTTACGAGATATATTATCAAAGAAGTCATCCTTATTATAGGCAGGCTGCACAGAGAACAGAATAAGAATTATATGGTCAAACTTAAATGCTTATGGTGATCATAATACACGTGACACGACTCAAGAGCTGGTAAAGAGGAATATAATACAAAGTAGCATGTGGATAATTCAATTATACATGATAAACGTGACACCTACTTTGGGATCAGCATTACAATCCAAGCCATAACCGTCTTCATTCCCCTTGTTCTCATTGCCAATGTCCTCACTGTCCATTGTTTTAGCTGTTTGTTTTGCTTTTCCAAGATAACCCCATACTTCATCCTTATTAAACTTCCCATTCATTGCAACAAAATCGAATTCTTCAGTAAACTCAGAAGATGATTGCAACTGCAACAGTTTAACAAAAAATAAAAAAATAAAAATTGTCAGAAGCTAGATGTCCATGAAATTGCTTCCAGAGGCATAAAAATGTATAAAGCAGAACCAGAAGGTTTTCCCATATAAAGCAAAGAAACTTCCAAAGCAAAGGTGATTTGCATTGTTAAGGAAGCATCATTTGTTTGGCAACTCTTTCGGAAATGATATGGATCTTGAAGTCCCTAAACTTCTGGATCACGACGATTGTTACAGCAGCTATTTTAATGCAATTCTCATCTTAAAGTGCCCAAGCAACGTAGAAGTGGGCTAATACTTCTCGTTTAAATAATTAACTTCTTAGACAAATCATTGTTCATAAACCCCCCATGATGTACTTTCAAGGTTTTGCACCTCTCAAGCACAAAGAAAAGAGAAAAACAAAAGCACATCGCTAAAGTTTTTCACAAAACTAGCGAAAGCGTTCTTCAAACTCACGTGAAAAGAATACAAGATGAAAAGAACCTTACCCACTCGTTTCTCAATCTCGCAAGCAAGGACGTTGAAAAAGGAAGAAGAATGAAATAAAAGATAAATCACGTTTTTGAAGCAAGAGCTTAGAAAACTAATCACCAATATTTTTTTAGCATATTGAGCCTTTTAAATAGGCCTTACAATGAGTAAAATTGATGAGGTTAAGGAAAATTAATCCTAATTGAACTAGAATAAAAATAAGGTAAAGAAAAGCCTATTCTAACTAAAATAGGAAAGGGAGTTCTAGAAGAAACGGATATACCAACTAACAATCCTAGTTTGACTAGAACTACAAATATAATCCTACTAAAAAGGGGAATAAGAAATCATAATCTTTACGGAGAAGAAATCCTAATCTTAAGATTCTTGGATTCTAGGTCTTCTTGATCTTGCATCATTCTCCCCTGGTTGAAAAAGACTCGTCTCGAGTCTAACATACTCCATAGACGGCTCAAGATTTGCTATAGTAAAGAATAGGGACCCAATGCTCACCAGGCTTCAAATTACATTTTGCTAACTTATCATAGAGCTTTTTCGCGTTGTAAGAAAACTTAACATGTGGTCGAACTAAATCCCACTTTCGAAGTTTCAATTTCTATCCAGCCTTCTCCATGTAATCTTTCTATGTTGACTCTCAAACTTCAACTCATGACATGAAGTTATTGGTGTTAGACCTTCATGGAACTTAACCAACCCCATGTCAAGCTTTGAATTAAGCATGGAGATCGAATGCATCAATTGCAACACTTGTAGACCAATAGTCACTTTGATGATAACCATATATATTTACGACTGGAAGACATCTTGTTTCTCCAACATACCTCAAAGGCTTAAACTCTTCTTTATTCATGTATATTTTTATGGACTTTAGGATTAATGCAATATGCTAATTTATTTGGAGTGATAGAGTCAACAATCAAGTCAATATTGTGTTGAGCATCTCTGAAAGACGGAAAGTCAATAACACACATTGTTGGATAATCTAATGGATTGTCATACAACTTTAGTGGTAAATCGTCAAATTTTGGATCCCATGCATGTTTCTCATATCTTTGATAATGGTCTTCATCAGTTTCGTCCTCTTCACTCCCTTGATTATCCAAAAATTTATTATATTCGGCATGGTGCCTTGACACTCTCATGCCTTGGTCAGCTATAGCTTCTTCCGCTTGCTCAATATATCCTGCTCTACGCGGTTGAATTGATGGATCTCGAAGTGGAAAACGTCGCGGTAACACCGGTATGTTGTGTCTTGATGGTTCTTTAAGCCATCTAGCTGCACTTTAATTTCTTCGTTGGCTCGTACAAGGGCTGTAGTTCTTAATCTCTAAATTTTAAATTTTAGATTGATTGAAGAGGATTCCAAACTTGCTACTTGCTTCTCTAGGAACATGATGAACAATAGCAAATCAAGACTCGAGACCTGGAAACTGTGCTCTGATACCAAATTGACGTACTTTAAAGGTTTTGCACGTCTCAAGCACAAAGAAAAGAGAAAAACAAAAGCACCTCGCTAAAGTTTTTCACAAAACTAGCAAAAGAGTTCTTCAAACTCACGTGAGAAGAATGTAAGATGAAAAGAACCTTACCCACCCGTTTTTCAATCCCGCAAGATTGCAAGAAGCGTTAAATAAAGGAAGAACAATGAAATAAAAGATAAATCACGTTTTTGAAGCAAGAGCTTAGAAAAATAATGAAATAAAATGTTTTTGAATCAAGAGCTTAGAAAAACTAATCACCAGTGTCTTTTTAACATATTGAGCCTTTTAAATAGGCCATACAAGGAGTAAAATTGATGAGGTTAAGGAAAAAAATCCTAATTGAACTAGAATAAAAATAAGGTTAAGAAAAGCCTATTATAACTAAAATAGGAAAAGGAGTTCTAAAAGAAATGGATATACCAACTAACAATCCTAGTTTGACTAGAATTACAAATATAATCTTACTAAACGAGAAAATAAGAAATCCTAATCTTTACGAAGAAGAAATCCTAATCTTAAGATTCTTGGACTTCTTGAATTTCTTGGACTCTAGGTCTTCTTGATCTTGCATAACCCCACCACCCGAGCCTTTTGTTCCATCTCTTTGGTTCCTTTGGCCCAAATCTCTTTCTTCATCCTTGTAAATTCCAGATTTTCAGCTTGAGTTGCCGGTGGTAAAACCTAAAATGCAGAGTTAATTTTCACAAGACTGGTGCTATCCTGCCATTGTTTCTCTCTTAACTATCATACTCAGAAAATACACCCCTTCCACCCTCCCCTCTGTGAGAGGCCTTAATATGTCATCCTACATCAAATAACTAACTTTCATCCTAAGTCCTAACCTACTCATACCCACCACATGTTCTACACTTTACGGGCACACCTTATATAAAAAGTTTACTTAAGCTGCAAAGAGTGGAAAGAGGCATAAGCTTTTGCGTCTTAAATCCAAAAAAACTGCTTATGTAGGGCCACAGACCTCTTACAAGAGTATTCTATCTGCCGTCTCTGCACTGTCAATCCAACATTCTCAAAAATTTCCTTATTTTTACTAAATTTTTACTAAGTTCTAGCTCTAGATTTTTTCTTTTTCCAAATAAGAGCCAAAATAAATGTATGCCCACTTACGGTTACAAGTTTATAGCAAAGGCATTATTGTCCATGGCATGTCATCCAATTGGATTTACCCCTCAGAAACATGCAGCAAACTATGTATAAATCAATAGAGGAAATAAATGTGACCTTAGAATTTTAAGGCAAAGGAGAAAACAGCGATAGAATCAAACCATCAAGCATATCACACATTTCTTAGATGTCTAGACGGACCATACCCCAAATAAAGAAGACACGCGAGCAGGCAGCTGATCTACATGGTAAAGAAGTCATTTGTCGAAACATAAGCCACTTTAATAATAAGCAGAATCAATGTCACAACGATTCAACCACTTTAAAATTGATATCCAATACACTTGCCACTACAAACAATAAGGCGATTGAACTACATAAGGGCAGCAGATAGTTCTATACTATAGGCAATAATAACTACAGGAAAAACATCAACTAGCCACTCATAAAAAAGGAAGAGTTAAATAACCTTCTTCGCAGCAGGTGGCAATGGCAACAATGGCGCTTGGACTGCTGGAGTAGCAAGTGATGAGGGATTCAAAGGTTCTGAGCTCAGAGCACCAAGGTCCTTCTGATCTGAATATAATTGCCCAGATAATCTGGGTAGAGATAACTGATCCGGAGTTAGCAGTCTAGGGGGTTGCTGTGGAAAGACACCTGATGAGGAATCTACAACTGGGGATACAGGATAGAAGGGTGAAGTGTTAGAACCTATTCTAGCAAGGATTGGAGCACCAGAGTTGCCCACACTTTGACCAGATTGGGGAAATGCCGAAGGAGCATACGCATAAGAACCCACATTTTGACCAGATTGGGCAAATGCAGAAGGAGCATACGCATAAGAAGACATTGAAGATGATACATTTAATAAGGGAGATATAATGTTAGTACTAGGAGCCATGGGAAGTTGTTGGGGTGCAAGACTATGTCTACTAGTTAAAGATAAAGAATTTGCAGTGTTAACCAAAGGCACTGAAGCTACGGATTTTGATAGAACAGTTGATGTGAAAGGTTCAGGACCCTGGAGTGGATAAGCCTGCAGCAAATCCTGCATCATTGGATGTGAAACAGCAGGTAGAAGAGAATGCTGTGGAGCACGGTGACTGCTTGCAGGTTCACTGTGTCTTTGTCCGTAAGTTGGCGTTGTATAAGAACCAAAGTTGGATTGAGTTGCCTCAGAACTGCCTTGTTCAAAATGGTTTACTGATTGATGTGAAGCTGGCACACTATTCAAGGAAGCAGGTCCCTTGTAAGTGCCATATTCTGTCAAAGATCCACCATTCAGCGAAACTGGTTTTGAAGAGCTTGGATGGACTCCAGCACAGCGTGACTACAGGAATAAGAATGGCATTACATGACTTGGAGTAAATATAAACTCTAGCACTACTATCAGTTTTTTTATTTTTTTTGGTAAATAAAATCAGAACAATTTCCATGCAAATTTTACCAATAGAAAATTTAAGGTGTCATATCTTGTAAATTAACATGGAGATTAAGCACCTGAATAATTGCAGGATCGTTATCCAATGATTCTTCCACTTGAGGAGGTGGAGAGGACTTTACTTGCAAATCCTGAAAGAGAAGATATTTTTCTTAGAAATCAAAATGCAATGGCTAAGAGAGGAAATGATGATGTTCTGCCCAAAAAAGAAACCCGTTACCACAAAGATATTAGTGAACTACAAAATCTACAAAGAAATTGAAGCAATGAAATCACTCCAAATGCTTCAAAGAGATCATCACACTATGGAAATATGACAGAGAGGTTTTTGCAAACTAGGTAGACTTCTTGTATATAACAGCTGAGAGTTATTATAACAAAGGGAAAAACATCTTTTTTCCAATCTAATACTATTAAGAAGTTGGCCAAGTATACTCAGTTCCATCTTCTGGAAGCTTTCTAATGAAACGTTACTTTACCTGATTCTTTTAAATAAATAAAAAAGTTGGGCAAGTATATGAAACATGGCAGCAACGTAATTGACTAGGTTTATGCTGGTTGTCAACCTACGGCAACCCTTCTTAGTCTATTTAGGCCTGGGACCGGCAAATATGAGCAAAGCCACAGACCAAGTCCATATGGAACGACATAGACAGTGAGGATTAACATAGTCGACCCCAACTAACTTGGTATCGAAGCAGTTGTTGTAGTATACCCAATGTGGCCACATCACAGATCCGTCAAACAAAATAAAAAATAAAAAGCCAAAGACCAATCGGAGCCTAGCTACAGGATCTCTTAACTAGGAGATGTTCCAATTTTCAAACCCGGACCATTGTCTATGTTGAAAGATTCGGAGGAAGACCAGAAGATTATTTGGAAGAAGTGAAAAGCCTCNGGTGTTCCAATTTTCAAAACCGCACCATTGTCTATTTTGGAAGATTTGGAGGAAGACCAGAAGATTATTTCAAAGAAGTGAAAAGCCTCTCTTAGGAGTTTCTTCATGTTTAATTTATATTTTAATTGTAAAGAAAGATCCCTTTTTGTATAGATAGTTGGATCAGTTTTTTGGTAAGACTAATGTTGTATGCAAATATGTTCTTTTGGTAGCGTCTTGGTGCAACTTTATCCATTGACTTGATTAATCAATATATATCAACATATATACACATACGCGTGCACAAAAGTTCTGCACAAAATCCCCTTTAGGTTGTCCGGTATCAGCAGAACATACCATTCCCAAAATAATGAAGTATTATATAAATATTTTGAATATATGCTCAGTATTCTAATTAGTTAGATCAAATGAAGCGAATTCATAAGAGACATAGTCAACATGACATGGCACAATAACTCCCTGTCAGAACGTATAATTGGTTCTCATCGAGTAATGATATGTAACAGCATGCACAGTTTAGTTAATTTCAGATGGTGTTATCATTAAAAAGGCATCAAGAAGATGCATAAGAAAAAAAAGATACAAAGCGAGATGACTGTTAGNAGTATATAAAAATAAGAAATTAAAAATTTTAGGCGTAGCTATTTGAGGATAAGTATATATGATTAAAAGAGGTAGCATCACATTAACAGACTGCGTTGAGTCTCTTTACTAAAAGTAAAACCAAGCTTTCTATACCATCAAAATATATCCACGTACCTTAATGTCACTCCCACGAAACAAAATGTAGTCATAAACTCTATCATTTGGAGGAACCTGTGGACTGTCTTTCTTACGCCCCTCAGTTCCGTATGATCTCACTGTAAATAGAACATGGGTCAACAGAAGTTTTTTTTTCAATAATTGCTGGGAGTTCCGAAATGGAAATAATCATAAACATGCAGCCAACATCCCCTTCTAAAATTATCATTTTAATCCTCTATCTAGGGAATCACAATTGTAATGTACAAGTTCTTGTGAAACTAATGATTTACAAAGAAATGCAACAAAGCAGCGCAACGAAAAACTAAACTTTATTCCATCAAGGAAAACCAGTGATTCACACAAGGGTGAAGGGCGACGCTTCTCCATTTACCCCATTTTATGCAAGTCAACTCAACCATAAACGTATAAATATTTATTTGTGTTACCATTACTGGTTAGACTTCAGTAATGGTAACACAAATAAATATTTATACGTTGTATATAGTACATTTTCTAATAAGAGAAAAACCATTCTGAGATTTTTTTTTTTTTTTGAGATGGAAAATAACCATTCTCAGGTTTATCTGAATTGTGGAATTGATAGTTTCATAGAAAGATATCAAACTGGATTAGAAATTTGGAGGATTAAACCCAATAGTGTATAACCAGTTATTGGTTGCCCAAGTGTGTCAAACATTTTAAATTAACCCATGAGGAAAGTGTGACATATAAATGGGCCAAAGCCATATTATTGAAAGAACCAATCAAAAGATAATTTAGAAGCATTATTTTGCCAACCTCACCAAACTAACCAATGGTCTAAAGTTAGATACTTAGAATGGACACTGTTTGCTCTAACTATTACCAGGCAAAAGGTGGCCCGTAGGAAAATAGAAATTTGATGTAATGCACTCCTCCTAAATTCTAAAACAGAATTTTAAATAGGTCTTAAAGTCAATTGACATTGTTCTTACTTCATATAACTCACTCAATTGCAGCTTCTTCAATTCCTTTGTCCATATAATCACTTTTTGTATTAGTAGTATTTCTTCTTGCATTTTATATATAACAGATGCGTATATTTCTTCATCAGCACAGTTTTTCACTAAAGAAATGAGCTTTAACAGCACTTTGCATTTACATCCTCCACAGACCTTGAGGCATCTTTGAGCCTTTCACATTTGACAACACTGAAAACTGTAATACTTCCAGATATTTAGCAGAAATGGCAGTTTGACAATCTGAACTAACAAGCCATTCTGGCTAATTTGTATATCGGATTCGTCTGCGGCGGATTCGTATTCGTATATCGGAAGTTTCATTCCAAGCAAGAAGTACACAGTCAATTAGAACTCTCCCTCTCTCACTCTCTTCAGCGAGTTACTATCAGCCCAACACCTGAGCTCATAATCCCAAAACTAATGCTTCAATTCTCCCGTTTTTAGATAATTTGCTGGCCTGTTTCCCTAGATTCTTAGCCTACAAAAATTCTACTACAAAATATAACCTGGTCATAAGTTGTCCCTCGGATTGCGTTCCGACTCTGTGCACGTGTTCTAGATATTTAAGTTGTCGCATGTCAATTACAATTGATCAAAGTCTATATAAATGGCCCTTGACCTGCTCAATTTTCCGATTCAATATCTTGTCCAGTTTCTAAAAATAAACCACATATACATAAAGATATTTTTCCAAACTAAGCGATAATTCATTTCCAGTTTTCTATTAACAACAAAATAGACAGATAAAATAATGTGCGCATAAATATAAGTAATAAATCACCAGAAAATTTATTCCTTATTATTAATTTTAAGGAGGATAATTTAATAAGAAATATGACAAGAGACAAACGCGTTGTTAAATTCTAATACCGTTCTTCAAGCCAAGGGAAGAGTCTTGAGGATTAAGATAGTAAAGCACTCCTTCGTAACGAATCTCAGACTTGGATGTCAGACTAATGAAACTTCCGATATACGAATCCGCGGCAGACGACGACGGCGATGGTGACGCCGCCGCTGCCGTCGACGACGACGACGGTTGGTTGATACCGGAATCATTCGCCATTGTTTGACGGAAGAGGAAAATGTAAGGAGATTTTAGGGCGCTTTTTCGCTGTGTGTGTGTGTGAAACCGGGAATCAAATGTTTGGCTGTTTGTGATAGTAGTATTTTGCGAGTTTCTTCTTTCTTGCTTTTCTGTTTGTGATTTTACTTTTCTTGTGAGAAGAGAGGGCGGTTTCTACTTTCTATTTAGGACCATACCCTTTAGGCTAGTTTAGAGGGTCCTCTCTGGAGTCTCGAAGGTTCTTTCAGAAGTTGGGTTAGTTCATCAACTCAACACCTAAGGCTAATTTTCTCAAATAGCCCTTTTTGAGGCTACGCTTATATTTATTCTTGTTTTACAAAACTTTATTACTATAATTCATGCATTTCACAATCGATTTCAGTAAATTTTAGACCAAAGTGTTCTAAAGTTTAGATGAATCATCATGAAAGATCGACTTGCACCTAAGACCAAAAAATAGTTCTTTCTTTTGTTGGCATTTTTGAAAATCATTCTAGTCAATAGTGTGATATTACTCACTCAAGCATTTGATTGGATACTAGTTCATCTCATTATTTTTGCCCTCTTTTATTTTACATAGAGCCTAAGCACTTGTCATATATTAGAAGCAATTGTCCATATGCTATTATGGTAGTATTAGTTACTGAGCTCTACTCATCTAAAAATTTTGTATGATTTTGCTTTTTGTGCCAGCTATTTTATTATCCACTTCAAGTTCATCACAAACGTTAACATAAGTGACATTGTTTATCAAAAACATTGCAAGAATTCATCATTTTTTATCAATAAAGTAGGCAATTATATATCATCCAACATCATCTTCCGAATGTATCTCACATATAAGTTTAGGCATTGTAATATCAAACTAGGGGATGACATTAAGTAAGAACATGCAATAATTATTCTTTTATGCTCGTATAGTAACCACCTTACAAGACTGTAAATGAGATGAAACCTCCGTGGATGACGCCCCAATGATGTAACATGGCATCTCTTTTTTCTATTCTTACAATACTCATGTGTCTAATAGTGAGAGTGAGGAGATACAAATAAACTAAAAAATTAAGAACGTCTTCAACATGATTATTCTTAAATTTGATCATGTAAATGCCACTACCCTATGGCTTGCAATAAACTGAGGTTTACCGAAGGGGACATGAATCCTCGAGGCTACATAGTAGTCTTGTGAGTTGATTTTATATGAATTTGCTTAATTGAATTTCTTGTAATTTGCTTAATTATGTAAGTTGGTCAGTTTTTTCAACTTATACTCATTCTTTAGAGTTCTCATAAAGATGAAGTATTCGAATAAATTGTGAATAGGGAATCAGATCAAAATAATAAGTAATAAACTCATATATAAGATAATTGGTAAGTGTTTTTGCACTATTCTCAAGTAACATTACTAGATTTGATCGCAGCCCTCCTAACATTTTAAAGCGTGATGTCCAATAATATAGTGTCACTATGCTGGATCATAACATGACTGCTCTAGATGTCGATGGTGAAACTCATATTTTTAGGATTTGAAAGAGTTCATTATGCTGTAGAAAACTGATACATATTATCTCGTACCTTTATCTTCAAGATCTTTCACTCGTAGCTAAGTGAAGGAGCTACAAGCTTGTGGATTACTTATGATAAAGTGGGAAGCTTTAGTGGATCTCTTTTGGAGAAGACCACAACATATTTTACCATTCTTGTGTGGAAGGAAGATCATGATATAGAGCTTGAACTAAAGAAGAAGAAGTTGGAGAAGGCAGCCCAAGTTTGTGGACTGTAATTCTGGAGCTAATTGAGTTCATGAAGTCAATGGTGGAGCCGATTGAGTTTGTGGAGCTGAACAGAATGGAAGAAAAAAGAGTAGTTTGGGAAACATGGAACTGAACTCCAAATGGCTCCACGAATGGGGTGAAGTTGACAGTTTTTTCAATTGTGGGTCTAAGCATATTTAAGGGCCTATCTTAGAGATATTTTATACATCACTTACTATTTTCTAGCCCTAGTATTAATACTCATGTTTTCTCTTTGGGAAGGGTTAGTTAGATTATGAACAAAGAGTTGACATCTCTCGTTTATTATGTATTTTTTTTTAACCATTTATATTTGAATATTTTCATATGAGTATTTAATTTGAGTTGTATTCTAATTTTAATTTTTTAATGATTAATAGTAATATTATTGAGTAAATTTTATGGTGAATCTCTTGATTGCTTTGTGATTTGCCCTAGGTTTTACAAGAGAATCAATCTCTTGGGAGCCTAATATTTTAGGTGCTTTATGTAATTGTTTTAGGGGTGATTAAGATTCCTAGTCTCTAATTGTTGCTAGTTCTTTAACAAATGTTATAGCTATCTTCTATCTTTTATTTTCTTGTTATTCTATATTTTTGTTCTACTGTTGGATTCGCATAATCTTGATATTAGAGCGTCAGTTGAGGATTTGTTCTATCAAATTCTTGATTCGGGTTTTGATTATCATATTAGAAAATTAAAATAAAAGGCAAAATTTTCACTAAAAAAAGGTAAGTTTTGAGTTGGGATATTGTGTTTTGAAAATATGAGGTTGTTTTGGAGTTTTGATTGCTGAGTTTTATTGAGAATTATTTGGAGGCTTCACTTGAATCATTTGTTATTGAAATCTATTCCAGATTCGAGTTGGAAATTTGAGTTCCGTTGAAGAACTTGAAGTTCTTAAAGCGGGTTTGAAGATTTGGGTACCAAATTCTTGTTAGAATTGAATGGATGTCAAAGAAAACTCTTGATATTAATTGAGAATACCTAAATGTAGAGTTTAAATATTTTTGAAAGTAATTTAAACAAATTTGGATTGAATTGTAGCAAAATTGATTCGAAGAAGACACGTTGAATTTCCAAAATCGTGGCCACGATCCAAGTCGTGGACTTGAACAATAGCTTACTTAAAAACTCAACTCAGGGTCGTGGACTAGATCGTCTCTATAATTGGAAATCGTGGAACTAACTCAGACCTTAGCCCGGAATTGTGAAGTGAATCTTCTCCATAATTGTAAATAGTGGAGTTAGCATCAACAATTTCTCACTATCAGTTTTTGAAGGTTTTGAGTTGGTTTTTGGGTCCAAACTTGTGATTTTTCATTATGTTTTAATTTCTTTAAACTTCATAGGCTAGTTAACACTTAGTGTTTAACCGTTAAAATATACAGTTGAATTTGTCTACATGATTTATAGATGCGTGGATTAAAATAATCTGATTAGTGAGATTATAAATGAAAAGTAACAATATAAAAAGATACTTAGAGAATGAAACAAGCCCGATCGGAATGAAGTTAATAACGAAACTCGGACAAGTATTTTTGTATATAACTATAGAATTGAGGTTGAACGAAGGAAAGTTTTTTTTTATGATTCTTATTGATCGTGTCCTTACAATGAGTACAAATACCTTTATTTATAGCTAAATTTAGAGAGACAAGATTCTCAAATCTCTCCCTCTTAAAGATAAATAAAAAACCATCTTAATGGTTGTATAGCATTGGGAATAAATGTTGACATCTTCTATAATGGCTGCCCCTTTAATTTGATTTCTTTCAAACGGTGTCTTGTCTTTGAATTCATTCCTCCAGACATTGCGTCCCTGGTAACTGGAAGATGTGAGACCGATCGTACGACCTTATCCGTTATTATCTGGTTGTTGATACACCTTCATCCTATCACTACTACCACGTGTCTGCACGTGAGGTGTCCATCTGTAGACTTTAAATTTTACCCATTACAGATAGTCCCCTACTTGATGTGATCGAAAAATAGATAAGACCTTTTATTTCTTGGAGGGAAAGTTCTTAAACAGTTTCTGACACTTGAAAGGACGCACGTCTTCTTACATTTACTGATCCTGACACATGCTTCTCTGTGTTACCAAGGTAATGATAACTCTGGTTTCAAATCCTTCAGTAAACTCATCCCTCTTTTTTACTTTTTACTTTACCCTTTTCCAAATTCCTTCAACACTCCATAAGTGTCTGCAAACTGCCTTCTTCTTCTAGCAAGACTTCCGATTACCAAAAACAAAATCAGCCCTTATCAATGAACATCGATCTATTCCGTCATGTCTTCACCAAGTGTTCCAATTTTCACTACCATTAACCCTTCTACTACCGTCACGCATGGCGATTCCACAGCGGCCAAGACTGTACCATCAACAACAACCGATGACATTGCAATTTGCAATGGCAAGGGGCCTTCCAAAAAGAAGAATAAACCCAAAAAAGCGGACGTTGAGCCCCTCACTGTGAATATGATCATTCCTTAAGAATGCTCTTTTGATAAGGATCTCCTAATCCAGAGCACTTCCTCGAACCCAACAAGTGATTGGGGCAGAACGGTCGGCGGGTATCCTTCTTCCATTTGGCCAGCCGACATTCCGATTGTGAAAGAGGATTGTGGCTGGAAAAATATTGAAGTCTTGTCCCCACTAGACGTGGAGAGGGTAACTTTCAGCAAACAATGGTATACTTTTATTTACACATACCCTTTCACCCTCAGTCTCAGGCACGAGATTAATCCGGTTATTCTTGACTTTTGTCGGAGCTACAAAATCTTCTTAACTTAAGTTAGTCCGGCACTGTGGTTGCATGGAAAGGTTTGTAGCCATCGCTTCCAGGGACATCATTCCCTCGTTGGGACCTCCAATTCCCGAGTCATGGAACTCTACTCGTACATTTTCTTATCCGCATGTTTCTTTTTTTCCCTTTCCTGAATTTCTCATCCTCTTTAAGCTTTTTTCTCTTCTTCTTTTTTTTAGCTACCCACTAGATGACT